CGCTACTTCAGGCTAACCGGTAGCCAGGATCTCTCGGTTGGACACCACCTGCAGGCGTTCGATCTCAGTTGCAAACCACCAGTCTTTCTCCGCTGTTTCATAAAGTATATTCATGCTTGGGCAGCGTTGATGATGAGCGTAGTCACCTCAACGCTGATTGGCTTTTCGCAAGAATTTCATAGGTATCACAATGAAGAAATAAAACGTTACTCTAGAACTATCAGAAATTTGCAGGGCTAATATTCTGAGCTAACTTTTATTTGAACATAAAATATATTGTGATATCCCGAGAGGCGCCGCCGCTCTCACCGGGGTAGTTCAAGTAGTGAGGACACCAGGTTCAAATATGTAAACAAACGTTTAATTCACATCCTTCAGATTAAACAGAAAACAGTAGTCAAAACAGGTAACTCAGGCTTTGGTCGCTCTTCGCCGGTAAAACTTAAACAATGCCTCGTCTTTGGAGGGGAATCGTAAATCCACCTCCCTCAAGACAATATACCGTCTTCTCCAACGGCCTGCCCCCGGGAATCCTCCTGCATTGGTCTGGTCTTCTGCAGCGGGCCCAACCTGCAGCTCGTCTCTCTCCCCTCAATGGTGTGTCTCCCGCCCCTTATGAAGGCCTTCAGGTCGTCATACCCCGATGAGTTTCAGGTGTGAGGGGGATGCTCGGAGTTTCGGGGTGGGGTTCCTAACTCCACCGGCAGATGGAGCCATAGCAGTTACAGCCCTCTCCGGTGAACGGATCTCCCTTCAAAGACCCAGCCTCCTCCCTACCTCCTCCCTCCCCCCCCGCGAGACTGGGTGAAGGAGGTGCAGAAGGAGTCACGTCTGAAGAGTGCATCCGCGTTGCTGTGGCTCTTGCCAGCCCTGTGGACAACAAAAAAGTTAAAGGCTTGTAAACTCAAGAACCACCTAGTAATCATATGGTTTGTTTGTTTCCTTGTTCTTGGCCATCCACTGCATAGGGGCATGATCCGACACCACCGTAAACCGTCGGCCCAGGACGTAGAACCATAGGGATTCCAGGGCCCAGGTAACTGCGAAGCATTCCTTTTCCACCGTGGAATAGTTCTCTTGGAAGTAACTTCCTGCTTATGTAGAGGATAGGGTGTTCCTCCCCCTCACGTGTCTGGGCGAGTACCACACCCAGACCCACCTCTGAACCATCAAGCACTGGAACGTGGCCGGTGCCCCGTGGAGATCAAAGGGGAGCCGGGTATACTGGTAGTTCCCCTCCTGTGTGGCCAAGGCAGTCTTCTCCTTAGACTGCCGGGGTCAGGGGCACCTGCCAGTAGCCTTTTGTGAGGTTGACCGTGGTTATGAAGCGAGCATATCCTAAGGAGTCTACCAGATCATCGACACGAGGCATTGGATAGGCGCTTTGGGATTCCTCAATCACTCCCAGCTCCAACATCTTCCTTACCTCCTCCTGAATGGCCCCCTTATGAGCCTCCGGCACACGGTACGGTGCTGGTTCACCGTTTTGCCCGGCACGGTGCGTATCTCGTGCTGGGTCACCGCCGTGTGCCCGGGAAGAGAGGAGAAAACATCCGGGTTACGGTCCACCAGTTCCCGGGCCAACTGCCGTTGATGGGGGACAGGCCGGGACCCACCTGCACCTCTTCTCGCACCGGTTCCTTGGACAGCTGAACAGCACCTCCATGGCGTGCCACTTCTTTAAGAGGTTAACGTGATAAATTTGCTCAGGTTCTTTTTCCAGGTTGCCTTACCTTGTAGTTTACTTCTCCCACACGTCCATGACCTCATATGGTCCTTGCCAAGTAGCCAGTAATTTACACTCTGTGGTTGGCACCAGGACCAGCACTTTGTCGCCCGGCTAAAACACTCTGGGTTGCGCCGACCGGTTGTAGGTGGCTTGCTGTTGCCGTGTCTCCCTGGATCATGGGATAGATGGCCTTCATTCTCGCCCTCATGGCCCCGACATGCTCGATCAGGGTCCGCTGTTGGCATGGCTGCTCCTCCCAGGCTTCCTTCGTAATGTCCAGCAGTCCTCTGGGTCTGTACGAAAGAAAGAGCTCAAAAGGGTGAAAAACTAGTGGAAGACTGAGGTACCGCTATCGCCGCAAACCAATATCTCCCTTGGGATTCCAAGAGAGGAGAAACAGCGCTTTGGCAATGTGTTGGGATGTAGCCTTCCTCAGCGGGATGGCCTCAGGATATCTGGTTGCATCGTCCAGGATGACCAAAATATACTGATGCCCCCTGGCAGCTGCTCTGTGGGCCAGGCTTCCCAGGCTTCCCTAGTGGCTGTGGCTTCAAAGGCATGCAGGAAAACTTCAATTTCATCCGTGGCCCCCATCTTGGATAAATAGTTACTTGCCTTTATTGGGTGTACATTCCAGTTGGCCATCTGTTTCTGCAACTGTAATTCCTCCGCCTTCAGAAGGTTGGCTTTCTTTTGTTCTTCCAAGAGAGCCAAATTGGTTTGCATCTGGGATTGCTGGCCAGCAATAAGGGTTTTCAAAATTTCTTCCATTTTGTTAATTGGGGGGCCCACGGTCAATCTGGAAAAGTGTCGAATCAAACTTTCGGTGTCCTCCTCTGACATGCACTAATTCCGCTTGAACCTGCATCCTCCACCATATGTGATGTCACGAGAGGCGCCGCCGCTCTCACCGGGGTAGTTAAAGTAGTGAGAGGACACCAGGTTAAAAAGTATATACAGAACAGCGCTCCTAGGATCCTGTTGAGGGTGCGCAAACATGAGCACATCACCCCCATCCTCAAATCACTCCACTGGCTTCCTGTCTCACGCAGGGTTGAGTACAAGGTCACCACCAGTGCATCCATAGTAGACCTTACTCTCCTGAACCCACTCTGTGCTTCACTCATCAATCCCTTACTTTCCAGGTAGAATATCAATCTTTTCACGATCATCTTTTCCATCAGTTTACATAAGTTTGAGGTCAAAGCTATTGGTCTATAGCTATCCACCTTCCCTGGATCTTTACCCGGTTTAGCCAACGGCAGTACTACCGCCTGTTTCCACCCGTCTGGCAGCACCCCAGTCCTCCACACCTTGTTAAACAGCCCTACTATAGCTTCCATTACATTATCAGGGGCCTTCTTCACCATCTCATAGCATACCCTATCTTCTCCCGGTGCCGAACGCCTGCATCCCACCAGTGCCCTTGTCAGCTCAAACTTAGTGAATTCCGCATCCATCACCTCCTCCGTCCCTGCCTTCTTATGCAACACATCTCACAGCTCCTCCTCTTGCTCTCCTCACATAGGTGCTCGCCACTGTGAACCATCGCAAATGCTACCCCCAACGCATCCGCCTTTTTCTTACCCGTCATAGCAATTGCATCCCCCACCCCCAACACTGGTATTTCCACATATCCTCCTTTACCCGCCATCTTCTGGAACATTTTCCACACCCTGCCAATGTCCGTCTCTCCCCTCAATGGTGTGTCTCCCGCCCTTTTGAAGGCCTTCAGGTCGTCATACCCTGATGAGTTTCAGGTGTGAGGGGGATGCTCGGAGTTTCGGGGTGGGGTTCCTAACTCCACCGGCAGATGGAGCCATAGCAGTTACAGCCATCTGCGGTGAACGGATCTCCCTTCCAAGACCCAGCCTCTTGTGACATCACAATATTTATTGTTCATTTAGAAACAGTATCACTAGGGTTCATAAGTGATGAGAAGTTCGGATCATTTTGAATCTCATTTAGTAAAATGAACAAATATTTTTTCGAGTCATTCGTTCATTTCATCGGGGCGGGGGTGTTCACACTTTATAGCCAATTCCCTGGCCTAAATGCAAACACGTATCATATTCTCATGTAGGTTAGTGCATGTAAACCAGCAGCTAATTTAAAAGAAATTCCTGCATTAAAATAATGTATCCTGACAGTTTGGATGATTTGAAATGGTCATGTATTATCACACTAGCATTTAATTATCACAGCACTTTTTACGCTGCACTGAGCTGTAACAAAAAAGTTAAAATAGCCAAACCTGTTATTATTACTTGTGAACGAATATCATTCACGTCTTACTAAATCCAGTGACTCAAACGTTAACAAGGTAAACAAATCCACGTACCCGAAGACCCACACTCTAAAAAATGTGACCAATGGTTATTCAAAAAAATGGTGGAAACAAAGTGACAAATAATATAATTAGTGGATTTCAATTGCTAAAACTTTGAGTAAAATCTATAGAAAAAATGTATTAAATCTACAAGCGATATTTAGTTAATCCAAATCAATTTCACTAGAAAAATTGATTCATGTTTACTTAGCAAAATCAATTTATAATGACTGGATATTAAGGTGAAATTGACTTATTTTTTTCTGAATATTTGAGAGAAATTAATTAATTAATTAAATAAATTTACATTTACTGATTATTTGGATGAAATGTATTTATATTTACTGAAAAGTGAAATAGAGTGCATCCGTAAAGTATTCACAGCACTTCACTTTTTCCACATTTTGTTATGTTACAGCCTTATTCCAAAATGGATTAAATTCATTTATTTTCTCAACATTCTTCACACAACAACCCATAATGACAAAGTGAAAACTGTTTTTTGCAAATTTTTGCAAATCTGTTAAAAATAAAGAACGAAAACATAACATGTACATAAGTATTCATTAATTTGGATGCACTGTATATACTACTAATCTTGGTCAAATGTAATTAGATTTACTGAATAAAATAAGTGTTACGTCCCCAGAGTTCTGGGTTCGTATAATGATTCTGATTTGGGGATTGCATGTAGTGTGTCTTTTCCCAGAAAGTTAGTTTATTTATGTATATTTATTACAGTGCTTAGATAAAAGCGTTTATACGGTATTTGGTGTTTGTGTCAGTTTCTCGCACCGCGACTCCATACCTATAACAATAAGTTATATCAAATCACATTTTAGCACATTGTTAAATTAATTCAACACATTGCCATTGCCCTTATGGACTTAAATTAATTGTTTGAATCTATCCAATAAAATTACGTGCCACAATCTTTCTATGTATATTTCACTCAACACATGTTTATGGAACAGTAAACTTAACTTAACAAACACATCATCATACAGCAGGTTAACATTTATTTGTGCAAATTTCTATAAATACGTACAGGGAAAAGCTGCACTACATAAGCATGGTTTATATACATTTGAACAACACAAATAAAGCAGCATTAACACTAGATAGCAATACTAAAACTGAACACCAGAAAAACAAGAGCCAAATCTAAACTTCTCAATGTGAATCTTAAAAATATAAAAAACAGGCATTGAACAAACAGTAACCACATTTGAGAGTTCAGTAACAACAATTCCCTTTTTTTACTCCAAGGGTCAAAGGGGACACTTTGAATGTGCAAGATTGACTGCATAAGCAAACCCAACCAGCAGACACCAAGCCCTTGGAAAGTCCCTCGGTGCAGTCAGAACTTTTAGTACGTCCAACATGATACCGGCGTCTGGACTCCGACGTGTTCGTCTTGTTCCTGTAGATTTTCATCTTTTGTATTGCAAGGTCCTGTGAAACAGTGTCTTCACCAGCATCCTGAAATAGCAAGAAGATTGAGTATTACACACTGTACATCCAAAAGATTAGGTCCCAATTGAACATCCACCAAATTACTTCAACGTTCACAAATATCTTATTCTACATTCACTAACAGGCTGGTCATATGTCAATTGATCTCTATATGATAGTATAAACTCATTCCTGGAGCTCTAAGTCATCCAATCCAACAATGTTAAAAGGATTCTTGTCTGCTTTGTCAATGTCTCTGAATTCAGAAAGCTGGTGTAATCAGATTGAAATTTAGTCCCCATTTCTGCAGTAGTATTAAAAAAAATCCGTCATAGAATACAAAAATGTGCACACATACCCAGAGGACGATAAATATTTTAATTAATCTGAATTATTATCAATGAAACTATAAACCACTAGTAGAAATAATGTTATAATAACATGTAATTAATAAATAAACAATATTTATTAAATTCAGCTCAATGTAATTCAAAACTGTCTTTTTTATTACATGACGGTTACTATTATTCATTTAGTAGATGGCTATGCAGGTCACGTGAAAAATGATCCAAAGACTCGTATGCGAAAACCCAGTCGGGAAATGGACAAATCATTTCTGTTTCCTTGACTGAGCCTATGCAACAGTCCTGATGTGCGCCCACGAGAAAATGAACGAATCTTTTGAGAGGACTCGTTACTCCCAAGTCCTTGTCAGGATTCGTTCTGAATCGTTCACGAACGACACATCACTAGTGTTCATAGTGTGTCTATCGTAAAACAATTTTGACTTCATTGAAATTATTTTAGAATGCAGACTCTGAGTTATTTCCTTAAATGCGTGGTTTACGCGATTTATTTGTTTAATTTATTTTGACCTGGTATTTTCACTAGCCTGAAGCAATTAGTTATATTAATCCCAAAGCAGAATCATTTTTTGAGCATAACCACCTGTTTTTAACGAAACCTGCCTAAAGCGGTGTAACATCAGGAAATAACTTTTGGCATTCTGGAAGGAGTGTCACAACTGTATTGGTGGTTGTTGGGTTTTTGTCCAGTCTCCATGTTTGTTTTGTGACTTGTGACCTGTTTTATTTTGGTAAATTAACTCTCGTTTCAGGTTTCTTGCCCTTCCTCATGTGTCACCAGTCTGATTGTCTTCCCTGATTCCTGATTATGTCCACCTGTTCCCACACTTTCCTCATGTGCCAGTGTGTCATGTCCTTTTGCCTTGCACACTCGCCTCAGGAAAGAATTAAGCCCAGGTCATAGTTTTGTTTGTACCTAGCCACGTTGTGGACAAGTTGTCCTTGTGCCGTTTATGGCTCCACAGCTCCTCGATTTAGTGTAGAGCTTTTTGATTGTTTTGTTCTTTCCTCTGTAACAGAGATTTTGGTTTTTCTTTTGTTGACTATTCAGCTCTCTTAGTTTTTCCAGAGCATCTCCTCGTTCATCTCTCTTCGGAGAAGTTTTTTGTTCCCAGGGACTTCCCTGTGTTTTTTGTTGGAAAATAAAAGCGTCAGCTGAACCTCAACTCTGCGTCCGAGTCCTCCACAAGAGCTCCCCTCATGACAAGGAGGTCACTATTAGGCCATTGCAGCAGAAATATTTGCAAATATAATAAAGAAGAAGTTGTGTCACACACACATTTTAAAACTGCCACAAGCCTTCAATGCAGAAGTGAAGCAAATGTCACAAACAAGACGACGATCTGGAGCAAATTTTGCTCTTAATATTAATTAATTATTAATATTAATATCATGTACTATGGCTGATTTGTCTACACTTACAAATCTATATTTATACATTTGAAGATTTGTGTTTCACGCATTTCCAGATTGCAGGATCGCTGTCTGACCCATCATGTCTTTTGCCTATGTTTTCCCCTCGGTCTCCTTCCCTCATGTGTCTGTCATCCCCCTGTTTGTTTTGGGTGTGTGAGTGTGTTCTTGGTCCCACCTCCAGACGCCGCCCATGGCCACATACATGCAATGGAACTCATCACTGGCTGTATTTCAACCCTGGTCTTGCACGCATAGGTTGTTAGTCTGTTTTGTCTTCTGCCCTGGTAGTCACAGTCACCGCCGCTCTGTGAGGTTCTCCACCTGATCTTGTGTGTCACAGACTCTCTTTTTGTTCATCCTCCATTCCTGTACGCCACCTGCCTGTCTCCAACACCGAGCCACGGGACTCGTGTCTTGTTTTGCACGCCTGCCTCCTGCGTCGAGCCACGGGACATGTTGTCGTCCACCGTCCCCGGTGCTGGACCTCGGGGTCCACACTTCTTTTTGGCGCAACCAATGAATTCTCTTCCTATTCTGGCTCCTGTGGTATGCATTTGGGTCTGCAGACGCAGACGCTGATTCCAAATACTCACTGGCAGATTTTTGTATCAATTTAATTTAACTACTACTTACTAGGCATTTAGACTACTCTACAGATTTGTGAATCTGAATAAACATATTCAAAAGATTTTCGCACAGATATTTGCAAATAGTTCTGCTACAAAAAAAGGGATCCTCGGGCTTTCTTTTTTTCCTTTTTCAAACTGTCAAAATGAATTTTAGCTACAAATACTTTATTCAAATGAAACAACTGATTATTAAAAAAACAAAAAGGACACGGCAACTTAAAAAAAAAGGCAAGGAATACATACCAGTAATCTGTCGTCAAGCTGCAAATAAGGCATGTAGTTCCTCAGGATGAGAGGACCCTAACTTACCAGTATAAGGAATAATGATTTACAACAAAACTCTACATCTCACTCCGTTGACTTTTTGTTTTTGTTTTAATTGACTGCTCTCTGAGTCAGGGGACCCAGTACAACAGTTTGCCAATCCCCCTGTGATTGTCACACCCCAACGTAGCCTCAGAGGAACTCCGGCACTGCGTGATATCTGTGTGTCGCCTGCAACAATTGCCTTGGAATACATTGTTGAGACAAGCTTGTTATACTGTAACAATCCAAGAAGAAAGCGAGTCACCTCCATCCTTTTCAGAATCACTCTCCGTGAGGTATTGCATGCTGCTCTTTATGTCAAGAGGACTTATTTTGATTCTCACAGAAAAGAGCCAAACATTACTCAACCGGTGAAGGTGGATGATTGTATTTATGCACATTGGGCACACGACCACCAAGTGCAGATTTTTTTTTTTTTGCCATCAAAGCAATATTGATAACAGGAAACTCTATCTGGAAAGCCAACCCCAGCCTTGGTGTCACTACCATATTTGTTCTTTCGACGATTCTGAAAAGTGATTTTGTGTGTGTGTGCTAGTACAAACACAGCAGAGCTAAGCCCCAACCAGCGCTTATGAAAGGAAACTAACTGTAAAAGAATGATTTCCCACCTGGATTCAGCCTGGATAAGCAGTTTGAAAAAGGGAGCAGCGCTTTGTGCACCGTCGACTACATTACTGAGTCTGCGCGGGCAAGGCCGCAATACTGCAACATTCATTGTCTGATTCCACTGCACCACTGCTCGACTGCGAAAAAAAGTCTTCAGTAAAGAGTATGAGAAGTTGTTAAATCATGCCAAGTGGAAGAATATACAAACTTAGTGAGAGATTACAGCTGCAGTCACTTCACATCAGGCGGATCCACCAGGGAGCTAATGGAGACAGAAGAAACAGAAGGAGCCGTCTCTTCTCACTCTTAACCATAGGGGGGGATTGATATGCTGAAAAAAAAAGGATGGGAATCACAAAGGATAAGGCAGAGAGATGTAGGGCTTCGCTACACATTGGGCCTGTCAACTTCTGTAGCCAGTTTTTATATTTCCTCTCCGTCTTTGGCTCCCTTCAGATTGGCTAAGAGCTGTTTTCGCACTCCACTGATCAGTCTGGGGGAGGATAGAGATGAGGGAAGGTTTGGAAAATTCCGAAATAGTCGACTGATAAAGGAGAATGGGATATTTAGTATCCTTACATGTCAGGTTTCAGTTGTAAAATACCCTGAAGCGATCTCTGGATAGAAAGTTGTTTTAGCAGGTACTGTGGGTGACATGTCTAATGGTATGTTCACAACAAAAGCAAAGCAAATTATTTGCATGAGTAGATTCCATGCAAATTCTGACGCGAACGGTTGCGAATTTTCAACGGGCATTGCGAATGGCGCGGTGCATAAGACATGAACAAAGTCGATGGAGCGAAGCGAATACTTCGCCTCATTCGGCAAACTGTCTTGCGAAAGCCAATCAGCATTGACATACTCTGCCTGTCATCATCGCCGTCCTGCTGCCAAAGCATGAATATATTTCATTAAACTGCCACTCACCAGAGACAGATAGGTGTTCCACAGCTGAGATTGAACGCCTGTAGGTGGTGTCCAACCGAGAGATCCTGGCTCCGATCCAACCAAACAGGTTATAAAAACTGGCTACTGGTTAGCCTAAAGTAGTGCTGGAAGCGGGAGTCATCCAGACGCAGTTCCTGGAGTTGGTCAACTTCACCGGCGACTGCGGGGACAGATGATGTCATAAACCCAAACACAACAGCGTTTGTGGAATCTCCACCACAAGTACAGAGCACAAATATTAGCGGAAGTAATAACTGTCTTTATGGAGACATGCCACGGAGATAAGCCATGCCCCTTTTCTGGCACGAATGAAGGAGATGCGAATAGTAGGGCGAGTAAAGCCTTGCTTTTGGTGTGAATGTACCGTCATAGTCAGTTTGCTATCATTGTTGCATTAACTGTACTGCTGGCTGCTAAAGTAGGCAATGAAACGTTGGCACATTCTTAAAACTGCATGGTTAAACAAGGCTAAGAAGAAGCAGGATAATTGGACAATGGATGTGGCAAATTGGAATGATGAGCCTCCTTTCAGGATGTATTAATGGAGCTAGATCTCCTGAAATTACCCCGCTGTCGCTAGGAGAGGGACACATGATTGTCATGTCAGTTTTGTGAGCGCCCCACCCCCAATTTTGAGGTGAAGGCCAGGCCACCAAAGACAGATTGTTGCTGATTCAGACCTGCTTCTCTTGGTTTTTTTTTTAAATATTGTTTCCACCACAATGTGAGTGGAGTGGTTGATCCCCTCCAACCCTGTATGCAGGTAGATGGCTGTCCCCAGATTCATACCTTTTTTTTAATCAGTATTATTGGTGTCAACACAACTACAAACAAATGGGATTTCTTCGGTCATTCTCCAAAGGAGCAAATAACAAGCATTGTTCCTAACAAATTGTGAGTTATACAGAGGTTTACTTCAGAGGGTTTGTGAGAAACAGATGGAACCAGTGTTTTCCATCATTTGTATACTTTCCACCTTCCTCAATTTAAAATCTCAGTACTGGTTCAGGTCACATACATGCATCCTGGATGGAGTAGGTTTCATTTAGTAAATTTTTCGAGAAACATAAGTTAGCACTTATGATATATTCCTGAGAAACATGTGGAATTACTTTTGCATGTTTACTTCTTACCGTACTGTGACAATACAGAAAACGGATTACATAAAATGTACACAACCCTGAGCGCAAGATCCCCCCACAGGTTTGTTCATGGTGGAGATAACAATCCCTTTGATATGTGAGGGTTACTTCATTTTGAGGCAAATAAATGCAGTTGCATTCATAACTTTATTCAGATTCCCAAATGTTTAATGTTGCACCCTGATCAACTAGGGATAAGCTCCTTATGAAGAGATGTACAGTGTATTATTAGTTATTAAGTACACAGAACCAGCAAGTAAATACTGTACATCAGTTTTGATGTAATCACAACAGAATGCAGCTGTAGACACATACACGCAATTTTATTTGTATAGCTCTTTTCATACACAAGGCAGACTCAAAGTGCTTCACATTATAACATTTCATACAATGAGTGAAATAAAATGCAGGAATTACTTAATAAAATGTAGAAATATATTACACAGACGGCTTATACAAGATTACAAGATTATAAAATAGCAGTGTAATTTTGAACTCTTTAATTCCTGCATTTTGGGTATATTAGAGTAGTGGAGGTGAATTTGTTCAAAGAATTACCATCAGCCAATAACAGTATGTACTGTATGTGCTCTCCGTTCAACTAGTCAGCTCTCACGGAGGGACAGCTGGTGGGACCGCTCTATATTGAACTGCATAGAATCAAAGTTAATATGTGTGGCTTTGAGCGACTACTCTACATTTTCTTGTTTCATTTAAATGCATTCGTATAATTTAGTTTTCACAGACAGATAACCCCATACAGTAAGGTTCACAACAATCCATTGGATCACAAATGCCCGAGATTGGCAGCATGGTGCAGGGCCTTGCACAGCCCATTCTAGGAGAGGCTCAAACACTAGAGGACCTTATTCATCTCACCATCCAGTTGGATGCTCTGATGTGGCACCACAAGTTTTCGGCACCGGTTCGTCAGTACTTAACTCATTTCCCTTTTCAGTCTCCAGATTGACCTCACCACCGTAGTCCAAGCCACCCACACCTATGTAGTTAGTTAGTAGGGTGGTTCCATCTGTCTTAGGGGGAGAGGAAGCGGCAAATCTGTTCAGGAGCCTGCCTGTACTCCAGCGAGCTGAGCCACCGTGTTCCTGTCTGACCATTGCAACAAAAAAAGTGCTCGCCAGTAAGAGTGGGACTACTGGCGAACAACTGTACAATTTTCCCTTGTCCCAAGCCTGTGTCACACTTCCAGGTTTGCCTGCAGTCCGATTGCCTTTCGGTCTTGGTGCTTATTGACTCTGGAGCGGTTTTTGGGCTCATCTTTAGCCTTCGCTAAGGATCCCCTTGGAGGAGTTGGAATGGAAATGTCCAGATGGTCTCCTCACCAACAGTACTCATCATACGTGCCCTATTCCCCAGCTTGTGTCAGGAAACAACCGACATGAGATCCGTCTGTACATCTACCCCATGCTCCAGAAAGTTGTGGTTCTGGAACATCCATGGCTCTGGGACCACAATCTGGCAAAAAATAAAATCCTCTGTGGGAGCCCTACATAAGTGTTCTCCAGTCCGGCATGCCCTGACAGACCTCTTCTATTTGAATCCCCACTACCGAAATCTCGATCCCATTGGAGTATGGAGATCTTAGCCAGGCATTCAAGGAACAAGCTTTTTCACTGCCACAACACTACAATTGCACCATAGAACTCTTTCCCGGCGCCATCTTGCCTTCCAGCTGACTGTACAACCTTTCCCGACCGGAATGCGAAGCTATGGAGACCTATATCACAGACTCCCTTGCTGCCGTCATTGTGTTCTCCCCCGTGGGAGCGGGGTTCTTCCTCGTGGCCAAGACGGACAAGACGAGTCTCCAGCCTTGCATTGACTACCGAGGTTTAAACCAGACCACCACACGGAATAAGTACCCACTACCCCTGCTCAGATATGCCTTTGACTCCCTACTCGATACCAATGCTAATCACTTTGTTCGGATATGACAGGAGGATGACTGGAAAACTGCTTTCAACACCCCCTGGGACACTTTGAGTACCTGGTTATGCCATTCGGACTTGCACCACCCATTTAAAATGATTTAGTGAACGACGTGCTCAGAGATTTTCTCAACCGGTTTGTGTTTGTCTACATTCTCATATACTACTTGAATCTACAGGAATATAGTCACCATATCCGTCAAGTCCTCTAGTGCTTACTGGAGAACTCTACATCAAGAAGTTTGAATTTCACACCTCAGTACAATTTCTGGATTTTATCACTGAGGGTCAGATTTGCAAGGACCTGGTTATAGCAGTTCTAGAGTGGCCGATCCCCTCTAACCGAAATAAGCTTGTTTTTGCACATTTCTACCCCCGGAGTTAGGGGCATCGCCGTCTGGCTGTAGACGGCGTTGCCCCTAAGTCTACTCACCTCCCCTAAGGTAGATTTTCCCACCGTGGGATAAGACAAACCAACTGGCTCCGCCGCTCCTTCTGGTAGCCGTTTTTGGACAAACATTACTCATGTGGAACAAGCTAAGACGTAGGCTTGAGTGTCGAGCCTACGTCTTCAGCCTAGTTTATGCTTCTGCGTTTTCAGAGCGACGCAGAAGCAAGAGCCCCTTGCATGCCATTTCACACCTCCTTGCGTGCGTCGACCGATTTTTCTAGGCTTGCGTCGCTTTCAATTTTCGAATTAGGGGTTAGGTGTCTTGCTCGGGGACACTTCGACTTGAGACATGGGGCAGCTGGGACTCAAACCATCACCCTTGAGGTTCCCAGCGCACTCGCTCTCCCCCTGCGCCACGATGACCCACCCCAAGTCTGATAGACTGACAAACAAGGCCTGGAGGAATAGTGCTTATATGTTGCCAGGAGATCATGGATGACACGTATGTCGGCCAGTTGACGATCGGCTTGATCCTCTGCAGCTGTCCACCAATCAGAGGCGTGAACATAGGGTGCCGTCCCGAGGGTGGCAGAGGAAAAAAGCACACAACACATGGTATGACAAACGGGAATGACAGAACACACGAGGAGAGTCAATCGGGGAAAACAAACAAACAAACAAACACACAATGAATTAGACAAGGATCCTAATAATACTGCAATCTAGTCATCAGAATATGCCAGACAATGTGCTTCACAGAATTCTATTAGCGCTGCCTTCAGATTGATGCATGAAAACAAGATATTGCATGAGAAACAACAATTTGATGATTATCTCAGGTTATTTATTCAGGAGTTTTAAGGATATTGAATAATTCATTTATATACCCTTAAATGGCTGATAGTTTGTTGTCTCTATTCAGGACTGACAAAATTTATACCATAACATGCACCAATTGTTTGTCAGATATCAGCCGACTATGCAAATAGATTTCTCTCTAATAAAAAAAAAAGATCTTTAGCATTATAACATAATACCAACACCATTTCTCATAACCTTAGACTTAGAACAACAACTCAACAGAAGAGGCCATAGCTCATATAGTTATCTAACCCTTAAGGTTACAGAAGCAACATGACCTCCCAATCAAAGGACAAAACATTTTGTTAGCTGTGACCCCCAGTGTACAAACTGAACTGAACAACTCTGTTTTCACTACGCTCTCATACACATATCATATTATTGACCTGGTATAAAGACTTGATGCTTGTGGTCCTCAGAGGACATATTGCTGGTTATTTCTTGACTTACTAAATAATTAACTTCTCGTCATCCTTTTTCTTTGGCTGTTTCTTCTGTCACTCTGGAGACAGAACACATGTCTCCATAGATTTTTACAATGAGAATATTTAAAGGAAACCGCATGAATAAATCAATGCCCTACAACGGGATGTACTTATCAGTAGCCAGAGCTTGTGACAGACAACTGGATCAAACCCAGGTAGCCTCTGGTTTAGGTATATCCTACTTGACTGGGACTGTAAGTCTAGCAGAATCTTTCACCTTAATGTCTCTGGTAAACAGTAAAAAAAGTCTACTCTTTATATGATATTTTTTTAGCATTTAGTCAACACTGCTATACTTTTGGTATAGTCTGAGCTTGGGCTTTAGGACTTCAGGCCTCTGTAGGAACATATTGAAGTATATCTGGTGAGTGTTCGTTTAGTGTAGTGTTTTTCATTTCAACCATTTGACCTCTTACTTTCCATTTCTTGTGGCCAAGTAACAGAAGTGCGAGCCTTAGATTGAAACGAAGACGAAGAAGTGCTATCAGCCAATCAGTAGTGCAAAGAGCTTTATTCTGATGTGTTTAGAAAACATGATTTTCAATTTAAAACATAAGGTTGGCAACTGAAACGACTTATATAAACCTGAAATAAGAGAGCTTGCAATGATGGTTAAAATAAATCAACCACGATGTTGGAAAGTCAAGTCAGTTTCATAGTGCCATACACAAATGTGTTAGTTCTTCTTCTGAAGCAGGACTGTCATTATTGACTCGGCCACAAGAGGCTGTTTGTCAAGGTCATTATAAGTTAGCAACATGGATGTTCAGATTGTTGAGTATGATGATGGAAGTTACAGTTTTAAAAATTACTCCGGCTTTCCTCGTCCCAACTGTCGGTCTGTCCGTTAACCAACGTGGTATACCAGCTCTGGGTTTAATTGGTTTCCACCCTATGAGATGTTGTTAATATCCTGTTTTTCTGCTACGCCCTCAAAGAGATTACAATATATCACTGTGGTTCTTGAAGGAAATTTAGTTAGTGGGATTTATCAACCTCCGATTAAGGCATACTAATACTGATTGAATTCTGCCGGCTCTGGTTTTGGCTTTTTTGGGCTTTTGTCCCTCCGTCTGTCCAGCCGCATCTCTGCTACACTTCAACCACGACTCCATTGTTTGTGTTTTCATCATGGCAGTGATTGACAGGTGATAACAGGAGGCGTGTACAAAATTGGGTCAAACGATCCGGGTATGGTGGATAATTAAATTGAATAGCCTACTAAAAATATAATTCAGTTCATGAAGTTTCATAATTGTTCAATGAAATATGACAACCTTTTAATGGAGTTGAATAGCTGATCATTTTAAATGTATATATATATATATATATATATATATATATATATATATTACACCCTGCCCCACGGAATAACATCCTGCCACAATGTTAAGTTAAAGCTGGGGGAAGGACGCATAGGCCTTCCTTGAAAGATTTTTTTCTCCTGTTAGGGCAAAAGATGTAAAACAGCCGTGAGAAGGTTAAGGTTAAGAGTTAAAGATAATGGTTAAAATATAATGAACTGTTATGATTTAAGATGTAGTATTATTGAATTGTATTAGCTGTTAGCATACATAATATTGCTATCATCTATGTAAGGGCTTATTCACAAC